TTGGAGTTAAAATGGAGTTTCTGTTTTGGACATGTTCAGTTTGAGATGCATATTAGACACTCAGATCTAACAAGATGTGAAAAGGAAAGAAGTTGGGGCTGGACTATAAAAATAGGAGTAGATAGTATTTAAAGCTACAGTACTCTGGGGCTCACCTTGGGAAAGACAAGGCTGAGAAGTGCCCTCTGTGGTACACCAATATTTTGAGGTGAGGTAGAGGAGTCCACCAGAGACTGAGAAAAAAATAGAAGAGAAACCAAAAGTGTGGAAGATCCAATCATGAAAAACTTTGCAAGGAAGCTATGTCAATTGGTATTAGGATGATGATACAGATAAATACTACTGCATTTGGCCTGATGGGGTGCCACAGCCAGAAGTTTCAGGATGATGGTGGGTCAAAGACTTGCAGTTACCTCAATTCTAGTGAGAAGGAACTGGAGACAGCACACTTTCCTATTTTTATGTTAATGTGTTATTTATTTCTGGTCCAAGAACAAAGATCAAGGATGGGTATCAGGAATGGTATTTCAAACCCTGCTTTTAAACTCTACAAAACTTTGTGCATGTGTGCATTTTTCTGGAGACCTCCATAACTTTCATTGTTGTAGCCGCCTGCCCCAGATAGACACATGGACCACCAGAAATCAGTGAGTTATACAGGAAACACTCTTTATTCAGCCAGCTGGGTCTGTCAGGGATACGCAGACCCCAAATTAAGCAGTCCTTTTTATTCAGCCAGCTGGGTCTGCCAGGGATACGCAGCCCCCAAATTAAGCAGTCCTTAAATGTAGACATACAGGGTTTTTAAGCCCTAAACCCCATTTTTCATCCTGTTTGAACACATAAGTCTATTCTTTTTACTGTCAACCCACAGGTCGGTTGTGCAAGCGGGGGAGTACAGAAACAGAGAGCTTATTGTTAGAATGTTACGTTCCCACGGGCGATAGCCAAGCAGTAATTTTTCGGCCTGCACATCATGATGGTTATCAATAATATGTGCCTTTTATCTGAGACCAAGGTGACCAACTAGCATCAAAGTTTGCACCTCAAATTGTTCCTTGATTCCTATAAGGTCTCTTCCAAGCTCTGAATTTAGTTTCAATCACACTAGCAGACTCGGCTTGATGCGACCACCCAGTTACGTTCCCGCCCAGCCATCTATGTCCTTATTTGGAGACCACCCACATCCACACTCATTCAGGTTTCCTTGCCTGGCCTCTGTAGATAAGCTTTATCTTGTGGCCCTTCCGCCCACTTCGAGTTTTATAACGCCCAAGCGCCTGGGCCACAGATTCCCCACGCTTCTTACGGCTCCACGCGCCCCCCCACCCCCGCCACGCGCGCGGCTGCTGGGGGGCGGGGCGGGCCTGCGCGCGCGCCGCCTTCTGGGAGCAGCTTTACGATATATTGACCGTCTTTTTACAACAGGCCGGGTTTGCTTTGTGGCTGTCAACTTTCGCCGAGGTCCGAGTTAGTAGCCACATTATCTGTGGTGGCAGCTACTATAACGGCGGAAAAATGAGGCAGAAGCGAAAAGGTGCGTAAAAGAAGGGAGAGGAAGAGGGTTGGAGGTGGTAGGGAAGCAGCGAGCACGTGCGCTGTGAGATGCAGAACCCGATTTTCCCCCCGGGAGTCCGCTGTCTGATCCAAAAGCCCCGCCACCTGGGGTCTGTCTGTCGGCTCCAGCAACCCCCCGCCCCGCCTTCTCATTTTACCTTTTGTGCTTTCTAAGCCAATTTACCTTTACTCTCTTACTCTTTGGCTTGGTGTCTTTCGAATAAATGGCAAACAAAGCTTGCTTCCAAGGTACGCCCCCCAAGTATTTAACGTAGTCGGTCGATTTAACCCATTGTCGGACTCATGATTTGCTAAGATTTGTTTGGGGACACATTTCTTTTCTTTTTTTGAGATTTTTTTAAAGCCGTAAGTTAAAAGGAAAGAAAGAAAACCCCTGAATTATTTTTGGAATCTGTGGGACAGTTATGCTCATTTATACTGCCTTTTGAATTAGCATGGAGCAATGTTATCTTTAGTTTTTCAACAGGATGGGGTCAAATTTCAAATATTTCCTCATAGGTTTTAGTCTTTGTATGCTCCTTTGAGCAGTCAGTCTAATAATAATGTTTATGGTAATAATAGCTGCCTTTTATTAAGCTTTTGCTAATAATTCTGAAGTCAGTATCCTCCCCATTTTACAGATGAAGAAACTGAGCATCAAAGAGTTAAATAACTTTCTCAGCCCAAAATTATTCTTAGGAGGTGGAACTGGTTGGTCAAGCTGACTCTGTTAACTCAGAAAACAAATTTTTTTAGTTTGTTTTTTAATCATTATGCAATTTTTTTGAGCAGTAGCTCCAAGTGTCCAAGTTACCTTCAGTTGTCTTGTGGTGTCAGACTCTACATGCCTCAAATTAATTTGTCATTTTCTCCTTCTAGCTGCTCCTCCTCAGTTCGTCAGGCCAGACAAATTTATGCTTTTAATTTTATCTGTCACCAAACCCAGATAGGTCTTAGAAGTCACCTCTTGAAATAGTGTATTCCTCATCGTTTTGGCCACCGTTCTCCTAACCCACTATAATCAATAACTAATATTTGAACAGCACTTTGGCTTTCATAGACATTGTTTCACTTGGTCCTTGTAATGGTCTTGTGAAATGTGTATATGTTATCCCAATTTTGCAGACAATGAAGTGGAGCTTAGAAGTAGTTGATCTTTCCAGTATCACACAGCCAGTAGTGATTGAGAGCTAGGGAAGGAGCCTATCTTCCAAGTTTTTTACTTTAAATCTTGTGGTTTTTTGTTTTTTTTTTTTATACAGTGTTGCCTTTCAAGAACCTTTTACTTAGTGTCCAGGTTTTATGTATTTTCACCTTCTAAATCATTTTTTGTATCTTTTTCTTTTGTATACTTAATTTCTTTAAACACTACTTTTATCCTTTTACTCCCAAACTTGAGGATATAATTATCCACTTCTATTGCATTCTATTTAAATGCCTTTGCCTAGTAGCCAGTGTACCCTGCAATCTGTTTTTTACCAAATCTTGTCAGAAAGCCTGTATTCTGGTTAGGCAATGCTCCTTCATACAAAAATAGGTAGTTTCTATACCTAACGTTCCTTCTGGATTGCCTTCTTTTGCTTCTCCTGATCCTGCCCTTTTATTAAAGACCTCTGTACCTTTTCCTCCATGAATTACTAATCTACTTCTCCAGTTAATTCTTGATACACTCAAGGGCTATACAAATGGATTTCAGATCTTTATTTTTATCACCTGCATCTCCTCTTCCCCTCCAAATTCTTTTGCAGAATTCTCAATATGAAACAGCTGAAAGCTGAGCTGCTTTGGTTGAAATGAAGAAAGAGACCCTCCCTTTTCTTCCTCACTTCCCCCTTTCTCTACTTCCACCACCACCAGCAGCCCTACTTCTGTTACATGGCCCCTGAGGTGCCTTTAGCCTTTGATTATAGATGGGCTTTTATTCTCTCTCAGATTGTTTTGTACGTGTTAGCCTTGCCTCGTTAAATTAGAGGTTGCTTGGTACAGTGAGGAAAAAAGCCGTGGAAATTATGGAGAAAGACCTGGATTTAAGTTTTAACTATGCAATTTGCAATGGGATCGTAACTTGCCTTAATTTTTCACATCTGTAAAATGGGATAGCAGTGTCTACCATGCAGTTTTGTTGTGAGATTTCAAATGAGATAGAGTAAATTAAAGGGCTCCATAATTGCCAGGCTTTCTCAGCTATGCTTCTCTCTGGGGACTTCATTATCTTTGTACACCAGGTTTCTCTACAGACAGAAAGCATGCTTGCTAGCAGCTCTCAAGCTGAAATCTCACAGCTTTTATCACTGGAGAGAAACTAGTGTTTTTTGCCTTGGAGACAAGACCTCAGATTGGCCTGACTTGGATAGGTGCTCATCCTTGAACCAATCAACAGTAATCGCAGGGTCATGTAAGAACATGTCACCTTCTTTTATTGCCTTTTAGATGAGAAGAGGAACCTCAGTTGCCATGAGAAGGTTATAATGGTGGGCAGACTATATCTTAGAGATGCATTAAGATTCTTAGACAAGTAAAGAACCCACGTCCTTTCTATTACAAAGTGCTATTACATTGCTTTGTTTCAGCTTCACCCCTCGGCAGCATTTTTATGGGACAGTTATTCCTCATTTGTTCTAAGTATCAGATGAAATAATGCATCAAAGTGTAATTACAAATCTGGAGATAAAGACAAACTGTTTTACCTACTTTGCTCCTTTCTTGTGCAATTAGGTTCTTTCTCCTTGTGTTTATCTTTACTCTTTTCTATATATATCATTCTCGTGGTGTATGTGCTTCTAAAGTGAGCTCCTCCCACCTGTATAGGTAAAGCCAGGTTTGTTTTAAAGATATAGAAGATATCAAATTGTAAACAATAGAGGTTTAATGTCTTGTGAACTTGAGCTATTCATTTGGCACAGTTGGAATGATTTGGGAAGGAACATTGCTAATAAATTTAAAAATCTGTACTCAATAATGATTTTTTTTACATTATTGAATATTATGTTTCCAGGAGATCTCAGCCCTGCTGAGCTAATGATGCTGACCATAGGAGATGTCATTAAACAACTAATTGAAGCCCATGAACAGGGGAAAGACATCGATCTAAATAAGTAAGTGGGTCTGTAAAAAAGACAATTGCGTTCTTAGGTATTAAATCTCTTATGAAATTATCAAATACTATTTGTTTTCTATTTCATGTTTTATTTTACTTGAGAATTTAGCTTTCTGCCCTTCCCGTCACTATATATGGCAAAATCGTCGCCTAATAATACTAATAGCTTTTAACATTCATTAGGTCCTTGCTGTATTCCAGTCACTGTTAGTAGTGCATTGTATGTATTAGCTCAGTTCATCCTTTCAAACACTGTAAGAAGTAGGTACTTTTATAACCCTCACTTGATGGGTAGATAATCTGAGACAGAGAAAGGTTAAATAATTTGTCCAAGAGTAAATAGTGATGAACAGAGCTGGAATTTAGAATTAGGTTGCCTGTCTCCAGAGTATATGTTCTTACTTTCTGTGCCATATCGCTTTACATCCTTCTTCTCTTCCCTATTATCTGAGAGGAAAACCTTCCCTATTGTCTTCCAGGAAAACCTTCCCTTTGGGGGCGTTGATATAATCCAGCCCTTCTCTACTTTAGAACCCCTTCTTGACATGTTCATCTAATTTCTCTTCACAATCATGTTTAGCTTTGATTTTATCCTCAAATAAGAGTAGTCTTTCATCTCTGCATCCAAATTTTTAACTACATATTCGCTATATAGATCTGCTGTAATGAAAAGGTTCTCTCCCCACCCCAAGATCCAATCACCACATGCATGACTTTTTTTAGACCTTATTCTGTTATTTGAGATAAATCGTGTTAACCTACACCCAAGCTTGAAACTAGTATCATCATTGAACCTTTTTCCTTAGGTTTAATTAACGTCTGAAGTTTGTTATCTTCCTTACAACTCTCACTTTCATTTCCACTACTCTTCCATCCACTCCCTAGTCCATCTCTTAAAAACTTATGTCTCAACTACTGCAATAGTTTATGCTTTTGGTCCCTTTTACTCTCTGAGTGGGTCAATTTTTGTCTCATCTTTTATCATGTCATTTCCCTGTGCAGGAACTTCAGCATGTCCCCATTGCTTATTAAATGCAGATTCCTTAACCTATTATGGAAGGCCTCTCGGTCTGGCTCCAGTTAACTTTTCTAATTTTTTAAACTTCTGTACCTTCTCATTGAAAATCTGCTTTCTGTCAAGTCGTTCTACTCATATTAAAATGTGTGTTTTGTTTTTGCATCTTCACATAAGCCAGCCTATCTCCTCTCATTGTCATCTCCATGTTTTCACTGCATGTCTGAAGGCTACTCTTTTCTGTGCCATTTTCCATGAATATCTACCCAGCATACATTGAGTTCCTCTCTTGAACTTTGGAAACGTTCATTGTGTGTGTCTTTTCTCACGTTTTTATCACTTACATATTTATTTTTGTGTATGCCTATCTGCAAACATACAAATAGCATGAAACAACTATGCCTTATACTTCTTAATATACTAAATACTTAGGTAGCCTCTTGTATATGTCAGGTACTCAGTTAACATTTGTATAAAATATTTTTAGATGGATTAAAATGAGAAGTTAAGGTGACTGTTAGGGTTTGGCTAACAGGAAAAGAAAAGCTGGTCAGATTACAGAGAAAAGCAGGGAATTAGGATAAAGGTTACTTCTGGGGTTTAGAGTAGAGTTACAGTAAGGAAAGGGCAGGTGGATATTCTGAAGTTCTGATTATATTCTGTTTCTTGGAGTGTGGTTACACGAGTGGTTGCTTTATAATTGTTAAAAGTATATGTTTTATATTCTGTTCTTTATACACTATTTTGTATTAGAAAAAGTTTGTGAATACTTTTGCATAGCTTTCCTTTAAATTGTTCATGTTTGGTCTAAGACAGTGGTTTGCAGCCAGGTCTGATTTCCCCTCTACCCCAGGAGACATGTGGCAGTGTCTTGGGGCATTTTTAGCTGTCACAACAGGAAGAGGGGTGCTAATTGGTAGAGGCCAGTGAGGTCGCTAAGCATCCTACAGTGTACTGAACAGTTCCCAAAGGCAGAATTAATCTGATCCTGACTTTAGTACTGCTGAGCTTGAGAAGAGGGTAGAAGCCTTTAAAGCTGGAGCACTGCTTTGAACAAGACCTACATTGTGTCACTGTCCTGGGCCCCTTCCCTGTAATCATCTCGTTTTCTTTCTAGTACTCCAGGTGGGAAGATGAAGTCATTCATTCATGAATTTTGTTCTTCTAGTTCCCTGATATTCACAGATGTCAGAGCCACTATTGTCATCTGGTGAAAGGATAGGGGAATGACAGGAGTTGGAGATACTATTTATAGGTCATCCTTTTGGTAGCTCAGCCTTGAAATATTGTGATCTTGATAATGCTAGATGCTTTACTTTCAGGGTGAAAACCAGGACAGCTGCCAAATATGGCCTTTCAGCACAGCCTCGCCTGGTGGATATCATTGCTGCAGTCCCACCTCAGTATCGAAAGGTCTTGGTCCCCAAGTTAAAGGCAAAACCCATCAGAACTGCCAGTGGGGTAAGTGATTCCAGTCATGAAATAATGATTGTGTATCTGTTCCTCCAGAAATCCCTGCCTCCATGTAACACACAGGTAGTGAAGTGGAGGTAGAGGATTAAACTAATCTGTATATTGTGATACGTACTGAAGTAGAGATGTGTGCAGAATGCTAGGAGGGCATACATAGGGAAAAAATTATTGTGCTTAAGGGTTAATGATGTTTTGGTGTCTTTATAGATTGAGGCTTGGTGAGTGACTATCACAATATGATAAATATTGTCGGCCATCTTAAGCTTGTAGCTTTCAAAATAATTGATACTTATAAAGGTATCTTTAAAAAGTAGTTAACGGTGCAAAGTCATTCTGTATATGATAATTGTGAAAACGATCGACCCAATAGAGAGCACTATGGGAGTCCAGGGACATACAGTGAAAGGGGATAGGGAAGGCGCAGTAGAAAGTGTGGCGCTTGCTTGACCTGTAAACGGTGCTCATATAGGCAGAGAAAGGCAGGCTCGAATAGTAATGGGAGCATGGGTAACAGGCGCAGAGATGGGGATGATAAAAGAGTGTGGTGTGTGCAGGAAACAAACTACGTCAAACTGACTGAAATCGATAATTCATTTGGGAAAGCCTCGGGACATCAGGCTGAGAGTTAGTTTGGGATTAGCTTGTAAAAGATATTAAATATCTCACAAAGAAACTGGACAATAGGAAACAGATTTTTGGGAAAGGGAGTGATAGGAACAAAATAGATTATCAAAAAATTACTTTGGATTCAAGATATAGGGTAGCTTGGAGACAAAAAGACCAGTTAGGGTCCTCTTGGTTTGCCCTAGTTATGAGATGTTAAGAGCCTGATTTAGAGTAGGGGCTCTAGGATAAAAAGTATGAGAGAGAGAGAGAGAGAGGACCCTCTTAAAACAGCGTACCCAGAATTGAATTCTCTCTTCCTGATGTAATCTAAGAAGTTCAGTCTGTTATTTGGATGGAGCTATTACACTTCTAGTAATTGTAGCTTGTGTCGATTTGTTTGGTGGCTGTATCACCTGGATCATACTATATTCGTGGCTAATTAAACACCCAAACTTACCGTGTATCACCAGTCCTGCTTTGTAATTAAGGTTTTTGGTTTGTTTGTACCTAGTTGTAGAAAACTCCTTAAATGTCTCATTTTAAATAAAAGCGTTTGTTTGAAAATAATTGTTTTTAATTCAGATCTGTAAACGTATTTAGAGTTTCTCTAAATTATTATTTAATGATTTAACTTAAATTTTAATAATTTTTATTATGAAAAATAATCACAAACTTACAGAAAAGTTATTAGGTCAGTACAAAGATTTTCCCCATGAACCATTGGAGCATAAGTTGTGAAGCCGATGGCTTCAAATATTTTAGTGTGTATTTCCGACAAGCAAGGACTTTTACTTATATCGCTTATAATAATAAACCATCAAAGTCAGGAATTTACACTATTACCTAATAGTGTAAATTAGATAATAGTGAAACATGACTATTATCTAATACTCAGACCTCATTCATTTCACCAGTTGTTTCAATAATGACCCACAGGACCTAGTTCAGAATCACGTATAGTATTTAATTGTCATGTCTCTTCATCTGGACAGTTCTGTATTTCCTTGACTTCATTACCTGAACCCTTTTGAGGATTTCAGCCAAGTTGTTTTGTAATCTGTCCCTCAATTTGCCTTAATCAGATATTTCCTCTTAAGTAGATTCAGGTTATGCATCTTTGGCAGGAACATTACCGAAATGATAGTGTTCTTATTGTATCCCAACAGGTGGTACATAATTTCAATTTGTCTTGTCATTGATGTCATTCATTTTTGATCAAGTTGATGTCTACTAAGCTTCTCCTCTGGAGTTATTCTTTTCCACTTCGTAATCAAGAATTTTTGTGTGATGAAGTGCTTTGAAACTGTAAATATCCTGTTCCTTATCAAATTTCCAGTTTACTTATTTGTATGTAGGGATTAATGGTTTCTTATTTGGGTTATAATCATTATTTCGATGCATAAATTAGCCCAGATTTGACCAGTGGAAACCCTTTCAAACTGGTTTCTGTGTCTTTTTTAAATGTCCTTATCATTCTTTGAGAGATTTCTAGCTTTGTCATAATAAAATGTTCTAGGCCCATCATGTACTTTCTCTGCCTCAGCACTAGAATCAGCCATTTCTCCAAGGAGTCCTGGTTTCTTTTAGTAGAGGAGGCTATTTAGAGACCCTTAAGATCTGAGTGCTAGATGTGCTCACTGCTATTAGGGTGTTGCCGCTCCCAGATCTTCTCAGGTAGGAAATACAGATGTATATATACATACATACATTCACAGATATACATAACGCATTTGCATATGTATTTTTTTGTATATCAGTCTAGAGGTATAGAAAACTATGAGTTCACAATGATACTTTCAATTCCATCCAACTCACAGAGTTCATTCTAATTCTCTCCCTTTTCATATTTATCACTTCCTTCTCTGACAGTAAGAAACCTGGCTTGCATTCATTCACCTTAACATGTGCGTTTATTTGACCAAGCACCCCTATGTGTAACCAATCATCTATTTCTGCCATTCCTTCATTTCTCAAGCAACTACTCTCTTCATCCCACTTGGGCTCTAACAGAGTCCTCTGAAAATACTTTGCACACACTCTGAAGTCTAGTTCCTAATTTAATAGTCTCTGTTCTAAATATTGAAATCTAGTTTGTCCATGAGGAGTTTGAGTTACAAGAGTTAAGTTTAGATATAATTTTATAGAATTACATAAAGTAATTATTTTCTTTTAGATTATTTTAGTAAAACAAATTACAAGAATCACTAACTTTAAAAATTAATTTCTTTTGTACTTAATTTATTGTCAAATATACAAACTAGTATGTATATGTACATTTTAAAGATTTATTAACATTGAAAAAAATCACCCTCGTACCCACTGCTCAGCTTAAATACAGCATTACTAATACCACTGAAGGCCCTTGCATGCCACTCTCATTGCATTCCTCTCCTTCCTTCTGAGAGATAACAACTCTGCAGGATTTTCTGTTATTTCATAATACCTTTTTTATTAATCTTTTATAGATTGCTGTTGTGGCTGTGATGTGCAAACCCCACAGATGTCCACATATCAGTTTTACAGGAAATATATGTGTGTAAGTTTGATTTTTGATAAGTCGCGTGTGTGTTTTAAATGAACTAGTAATAGTAAGTCCCCTAGAGCCTTATTCAGTGCATGCTGGTAATATTTAAAACTTTGATTTAATAGATTCATAAGTTCTTTGAAACAAGCAACCATCAAAAGGATATTTCAATACTTTAAAAATGAAACATATAAAGATTTTAATATGTTGCAGTATACAATAAAAAAATACATAGGTATAGAAAAATCAGTAGCTATTCCGTTAACTTGATAAATGAAAATATGAGCTGCTTAAATTCCAAATATCAAGAAATTTGAAATGAATTTGGATCAGAAAAGTATCAAAATAAAAAGTTATCCTTAAAAATAAGCTTTAAACTTCTTAAATTTAGATAATCGGAAAAATTAGGAGAATATGCATGATTCCGGATATGAAAATTAAACGGATGAAAGGTTTTCTTAAGTATAATTACCAGGAGAGCACTGTATCAATCCAAACTTAGGTTCTGTTATTTGCTCCTAAAAACTTAAACCTCTGAAATAATAGTGACTGTAATATTCTGAAAATGACGATAATGTTCTTTTATTTATCTTTTTTACTTGTTAGTAGAAAACATATTCGCAGATAGTGCAAAGATAGACTCTTCTGTTAGGATTTGAAAATGAAGCTTGTTTGGTATCAGGATTTTTATGGAGACTGCAAATACTTTAACTGACTGTTGAACTAAGTTTTGTATCTGATGTCTTCATTTTTTTGTTAACAGATACTGCCCTGGTGGACCTGATTCAGATTTTGAATATTCAACCCAGTCTTATACTGGATATGAGGTAAAGTAATGGGAGATTGTTCTTAGGAAGTGTTACATCATGCTTTATCTTTAGTGTACTTTTACGCTTACTGGCTTTCTTAAAATTTTTATTTTTTTCCTGATTACAAAAGTTGTTCATTCACTAAATATTTGCTGAGTGTCTACAAATATTGTCCTAGTCACTGGAGAAATACTTATGTGAGTACTTATTATTGATATCTGTCAGACACTATTCTAAGTGCCCTCCAACTTTGAATCTTACTGCAGCATTTTAAAGGTAGACACTATTATCTCAGTTTTATAGATAAGGAAACGGAGGTCTAGAAGTCCTCCTATCCCGGAGACTTACCTCTAATAAGTGACAGAGCCAGGTTTTGAATTCTGTGCTCCTCACCATTACTTTGTACTGCCTGTGTAACAGTGAAAGCTGGGCAAGGTCCCTGGTCTTGTGGAATTTACATTCTAATAATGGGAGATAAATAATAAAGAACCAAAACAAGAGAAAAAAATATGAGGTACCAGTAAATGCTAGGCTGGGAAATACATCAAGTAAGATGTAATAGTTGGGTGGGTACTTTAGCTATGGTGGTTAGGAAGGGATTCTCTGAAGAGGTAGTATTTAAAATGAGACCAGAATGACAAGGAGTCTTTCAAGAATATCAGGAAAGAGCATCCCTAGCAGGGAGAAGAGGCAGGAATGATGGTGAGGTGTTCTGGAGCCTGGTGGGTAAAGGGAAGAATGAAATCGGAGGGACAGATGTTGTAGGGGTTTGTAAGCCAGAGCAAGGAGTTTGGATTTTATTATTGGTGTCATTAGAAGCCATTAAAATTTAAAACAGGGAAATGATACAATCCATTATAGGTTTTTTAAAAGATCATTTGTTAGGAGGAAAGGATTAGCATAGGGTTCAGCGAAAGCAGGAGACCAATGAGCAGGCTTTTGAAGTAGTCAGCCTCTTTGGAGGTCAGCAACCAGCTATTTGACTTTTTCTTATTATCTATGGTATTTTTCACCTGTTTTTCATAGTTCAAATTTTTATTTTTTATTTTATCCCAATTTAATTTTTAGTTTTAAAAATCAATTTTAGTGAGGCATAATTTAAGGGCAACGAATTATACTATAAGTCAAATTTTTAAAAATAGAAAAGGAGAATTATTCATTGAAAAGTTTCCTTGTTATTCCTTTCCCTTGGCCACCCCTTTCTGTTTGTTTCCCTCACCCCTCAACAGACAGTTATTATCTCTTTTCTGCCCATCCTTCTGAGATATATGGATATATAAGCACATATTATTTATCTTACTTTTTTACACATAAGGTAGCGTATCAAAATCTTGCACCTTGCCTTTTTCATTTAATAATATATTTTAGAGAACATATATCAGTACATTGTTTCATGGCTGTAGAATATTCCATCGTATAAAGACAAAGCTTTTTGTTAAGCTATTACAAACTTGTATTTCATAACTTTGTTTAAAGGTTATTTTATCAAATAACTCTACGTGCACATCTGTGTCTGAGTAGTCTAACAATTTGTGTTGTTTCCATAAGTGTTTACACAAAGATAAATATGATTCAAGAAGATGCCACTTAAGACAGTGGGATGGAGACTAACCAGATGCTATTCAGGATATTTCGAACCTGACAAGCCTGAGAAATGAGGAAAGGAGCATAAGAGAATTTGATTTTTAATACAACCCTTTTGAAACTACTTTTTATTTTTAATTTAATGTGGACGTAACAGGATATTTTTCTTTTATTAGCCAACCTCCATGCGAGCGATTCGTGCTAGATATGACCCTTATCTACAGACAAGACATCGAATCGAACAGGTAAATTTTTAAAAAGCATTTTTAAATTAGATTAGATTTTTATACTTTGAAGGTATTATTGCTTGATTTGAGTTGAACCTAAAATAAGAACTAAGATTGTTTTTCTCCTTTGTAAGTTTTTAATATCCATCCTAGGAAAGGAGACTATTTTCCAGTACCTAGCAAAGTCAAAAATACTTTCTTTAGAGACTGTTTCTTTAAAGGTTTTATATTCCGTAAATTTCTTTCACTTTGTAGAAAATCATTTACGGTATGAATTTTACAAAATGTACGTGTATGGAAGTTCTTAGACCATAGGTGAATGGATTGAATTTTAGCTTCCATAAGCCAGACAAGAAGTTTCGTGAGTGGTTTGCTACAGTGGGAATAGGGAATTGACTGAAAAAGCGTATGATTAACTCTTGGGAATTGTGGAATTGCTCGATATTGTGGTTATGATTATACAACTCTACACATTTACCCAAACTCATCCACTTTACACTTAAAATTAATTGATTTTATTGTATGTAAATTATACCTTAATATAATTGTTTAAAAGCAAGTGCTATGTAAATTGCCTTGCTCTGTTCAAGAAATCTGAACATTAATACAGATTTTTTTTTTACAGTTTTGCAATTTTAAACTTGTCCAATTTTTTTAAAATGTGAGTACTATCTATAGTTTTTACAGTAATGTCTAGATTTTGTAGGGCAACTACAGAATCTCAAGTGGAAAGTACTGTGTTTATCTATTAGTGAATACCAGCTAGTTGTGATCTTCACTTCACTGTCACCTGAGCATATTAGATCGGTATTGTCAGCTATAGGAGAGGAGCCTACTCCGGGGAGCCTACTAGCTTGGAAAAGTGTGTTCTAAACTGACCATTGCTTCCCTTTTTTAGCCATGATATTTATATTTAATTCATTTAAAATGTTTTAACATAGTGTGAAATATTTATGTTTACCAAATAAGAGCATGGATTTTAGAAGATTTAGAAACTACCATAGAGCAGTGATTTTTTAATCTTTTTTCCTAATTCAAGAATCACCTGAATAACTTTTCTAAAACAAAGGCCAGATATTTACCTCTGGAGATTCTAATTAAGTATGGTTTAGGGTCCTGCCAAGCTATTTCGAAAAAGCTATCAAGATGAATTTGTTGTGTATCCCTTGTAAACCAGAGATATAGAGTATTCTTTCAGTGTTGAGATACACACACATACACTCATACACATGTACATGCAGCTACATGTTTTTACATATGTATGCATTTCCATGTATTTATGCATATGTATATAGAAAATGTATACATACATGTATGTATGTATAAATTATTTGCCATTTTCAGAAAGAGATATTTTAAAAGGTACCTTTTTTTCCATATTAAGTGTACACATCTTTTACATGACATACTAATTTGAGTTCATAAATTAGTAGCTACTTGACCCAGTTTTTCTCAAGCCTAAGATATGGCAAGAAATTTAAATATCTGTTTTTAAAAATTAGAATCTTAGCTTATTATAGTTGACAAAGTCAAAGATCTGTGGCATTGCATCCTCATAGTTGGAGACATCATATTTCGTGTTTTATTCATAAAATTTCTATTTTCCTTTTTTCCCCCTGGAAAGCAGGCTTGAGGTGTTACCTGTACCCTGAATCTTGACAATTGATTTAAAACTTTAAAGTTTTAATTTAAAACTGCTTTCCTAACTTTTGTTTCTAATCTGGTGTTTTTTTCTTTCATTTGCATCAAGTCCAGTTATGTTGCATATAATCATCATCTTTGTCTCCAAGGCTTACCACAAAGTCTGGCATAAAATACGTGATTGCTAAGTAGTTGGTTATTATATTATATATTGTATTATATCATATTTGCCTTTACTGCTTGCAAGTTTATATTCTGTGTTTTTAAATTTCTACTTTGTAGGTATAAACATCATCAAGCTTCTTGTTTATTTTTTAACTCTTACTCCTTATTTGAGCTATAATTTTTTCTTTTGGACATTGGAGTCTATTTAATCCACAGAATTTGCTAAGTATGTTTAATTGCTTTTCATTTTTAAACTATACTGGCGAAAACACTGCAAAATAAAATTAGAAATTTGCAATACCCTCTTACAATAGTTGACTGTCTTTCTAATGCCGATGAATTTATGTCTTTCAGTTGAAACAACTTGGTCACAGTGTGGATAAAGTGGAGTTTATTGTGATGGGTGGAACATTTATGGCCCTTCCAGAAGAATACAGAGATTATTTTATTCGAAATTTACATGATGCCTTGTCAGGACATACCTCCAACAATATTTATGAGGCAGTCAAGTAAGAAATCCTTATTTTATCATATTTTCTAAAGTGGTTGTCAGTTTATCCTCCTATCAGCAGCCTATGAGAATTCTTTCTAGGATTCTGCTCTATGTCTACATTCCCAATTCTTTTTTGGAGGGGGAATGGTGAGAGGGGATTTCATTATTTTTAAATTTTGCATATTTTTAATCGGTTGTAAGGTTAAATACATTTTTTTCCCAGTTTTACTGAGATACGTTGACGTAGAGCACTGTGTGTGTTCAGGGCATACAGCTTGATTCGACCTACATATATCGTGACATGATTGCCAAAGTAAGTTAACACCTGTCATATCATAGATTCCTAGTTCTTATAGTTCTGTTTTGTAGGAAAGGATTATTTTCATGGAAACAATACTTTTTTTAAAGAAAAAATGAGTATAATTTGTTGACACTGGTATTCTCAGAGAAAGAGTGAAGACCTTTTCAGCCTTAGGCTGGTCTAAACTGCAGTAGTTTTGACTGGGCTAGTTGAGTTTTCAGCCCACCCAAAAAGAGCACTGGGGCTACTCTTTATCTGAAACATTTAGCTGCTATAAAATCAACAAAACAATTATTATTTCATAACTTAGTTTATTAATAAGTACTATTTAGTAACTACTAATTTGTGTTTATAATGGGATCATTCCAAATTATAGTTGATAGAGAATAATGCATTCTTTAGATACTTCATATCAATTTTTAGCAAGAAGAATCCTAAGGTTTATGTATAGTTCAATGATTTAAGAAGTGAAAGTCTTAAAACAGTTTTTATTTTCAAAAGTTTCAGGAACACCTGGTTAGTTACTGTGTATTATTCTCTCTTATTTACTCGTCGTTCATTTAGGGCCCACTAGGTACTACTATTCACTGTCTTAAGTACTGGGAACAACACAGTTAACAAGGCTAACAAGACATGTCATCCTTGCCCTCATGGTGCTTACACTCTATTAGTTCAGAAAATAACAAGTGCTGTGATGGGGTTAGACAGGTACTGTGATAGAGAATATGTAGGATTATGCTCCAGATGAAGCGGTGCTGTTTAAGTTGAGACCTGAAGTGTAAGAAGAGTCAACTCAGACCAAGAACAGGAAAAAAAAGACAAAGGCAATGAAATGGGGAAGAACTTGGGGTGCTCTAGGAATAGAGGGGAGACCAAGGTGTCTAGATTCCAGTAAATAAAATGTCATGAGGTAAGCTTGAACAATTAGGTATGGGCCAGATTATATACCTTGAGGAATTAAAATTTTATTTGAATGCAGTAAGAAGAAGATGAATAGTTGTAAGCAGGGGAGTGATATATTCAGGTTGATAAGAAGGTCATTCCAGCTACTGTCTGGCTAAAGGATTAGAGGGGGACAAAGAGAAATCTTGTATCCATCCTGGCTCAGACGAATAGAGGGTGATGGCAGTTATGATGGAGAAGAGAGAATGGATCAGAGCTGTGTTTTGTTGTTGCGACTGACAAGATTTGGTGGGTAAAAGAGGAAGGAATCAAGGAAGACACCCAGGTTTAGATTGGAAAAATGGTTGATGGGTAGTGCCATATACTAACTTGGAAAAGAGAGAAAACAGATTTGTGGAAGAAAATCAAGAGTTCTTTAGATGTGTTAAGTTTGGAGTGCCTATGATACATACAAGAGATGTCTGGGCTATAATACAAAATTAGGGATTATCTAACTCATAGATGATATTTATAGCCATACAAATGGGAGAATTTCAGATCTCCACAGCATACTGTGTGAAAAAGCAGCTTTTAAAGAGCAGCTCTTGCAGTGTGAGGCCATCATATTTGATACATACACATATATGTATAAATGGCGTAGAAAAGGTAGTAGAACAATGGCCATCATAGGTGTTAGAGCTGAAGAGGAAGAGACATGGGAAATGGGGGTAAAGGAGGCTGTTTACATTTATTCTGTATACAGTGTTATGGGCCTTGTGATAGGTATTCACTTAATGCAACAAATCTTTGAGTTAATTATTTAAATTATCCCTGTTTTACAGGTGAGGAAACTAAGGCTCAGAGAGGTTAAGCAACTTGCCCAAAGTTACACAAGTAGGTGTTGGTGGAGTGGGGCTGTGAGACCCAGCTAGCTTTGCTCTCAGAGCCTGCACTTTGCTATAATGCAAGAAACTGTGCTAGGTGTAAAAATGTTGAGTGTGTCTGTGTATGTGCAAGCACGCATGTGTGTACAACATTAGAGCTTTAAAACATTGGAAGAAATATGGTCTTTTTTTCTTGTACTTCTTTCGCTACTGCCTTTAGGCTTTTTTTCTGGCTTTTATATCAAGAAAAGGGGATCACATAGCTACAAGGTTGTTGAAATAGTGCCCTTCTTAGTTTTTTGTGATAAGTAGGACCAAATTTCGAACGAATCTAAGGGTGGTTTTCATTACCCAGTGATTAAAACAGTTCTTGACATATAGTAATAAGTAAATGTGCGAATTTTGAATGATCCATCTGTAGGTCAGATATTGAGAGCTAATGACATAGGAAGGGCTGCCTCTTGGAATTGGGACTAAGGACATCTTTTTGTGCCCTCTATTCTTCCCCATCCCCTTCTTTACTTTCCCTTGGGCTTGTAAAAGTGGAAGGAAAAAAAAAAAGAGGTTTTTTTCATAAGTTTAAATAAATATGAAGGGTAGCTCAAGGGGTCTATGTAAAGAGTTCAGCACTGGGAGGTTGGTTGATTGCCTCTAGAGAATGTGACAAGTTAATTCTTTGTCCATGAATCTAAACTTTTAGTAATAGCAGGCCAGTGTGATCTCTTCCTCCTACAGGATGAGATGGTGACTATATTTTTATTGCTCATACAAAACCTTAATCATTCTTGAATATGAGTCATGCTTAGTGCTGAAGTCTTTCAAATTTTAGAGGAGTCATGATACACTCCAACTCATTCTTCTTAATAATACTGAGAATCAGATGATAGCTGAGAATAAAATACAATTTGAGGAAAAACAACTTTAATTAGTTCAAAGCTCCATGACATTGGAATGGTAACAACTTCAGAGGGTTACTGACTAAAATTCATTCTACTCTGAGAATTCCTATTTATTTACGGATTAATCTATCTACCGGATAATCAAGACCATTATATTTTTCTTCCCACGCTTATGTACTCTTTTCTCAGTGAAGCAATTCTTGTGTTGCAGACCTTGCATATTAAGTGGAATTGAACTATAAAAATAACTTGGACTTGCCCTGCCCCAGCCCCAACCCCCATAAAAGTTTGCCACAAAGTTTTTTACAGTCTACAGTTTGGGTCCCCTGAGTCATAAGAGCTAGGCTCTTATAATGAATTACAACTACATAATGAATTTTTAGGATGCAGCTAGTTTGACATTTTCATCAACTGAAACTTTAAGAACTTTAGAATATTTGCTTTATTTTGGTTAAGTTTTAGCTTTATTTTTGCAGAAATGTTCTCATACCTAGTGCTGTTTGTAAGTTGTCTGTGGTTGGGGTGAAAATGGAGTTTTATATTACAACTAGTTAGCTTCAGATCACGATATGTTTGTAGAAAAACCCTTTGGAGAAGAAAGCTTCTTCCTGTAATGGGCTAGTGGGCAAAGCCTGCATTGTTTTCTTTCTGTTCTTGAATTTACCTCAAGAGGGCAACAAACTACTTTCAGATGAAAATTTTATCATGAGTTGAGTCTTCATTGCAGCAAATCTCATAAATGGCTCTTGGGAAAGTAAAAAAAAAAAAAAAAAGTACAATCTGGGAGCCATAAAACCATCTGTAAATGTTACACTGAACCTTGCCAAGCCACACTTGACATGTTCCCTTTTCTCCTGGTTTCTATGCTTTTATGAGGTAATTTGAAAAAAGCTGTTTTTTGGCATCTTGTTTGCTTTGCTGAGGTAACGTTTTTACTACCAACTCCCTATTATAGAGTTAGTATTTGTTTTTTGGGGAAATGTCATATAATTTGAAGAAATAATAGTCTGGTTTGTGTTATAGAACTAGAGATACAGAAAACAATTTTTAAAAGTTAACATCTTTGTGAAATAGAGCAGCCCAGAGGTTTTGTGTTTTTGACATAAGGTGTTTTCTTCAAAATTTTTGGATAATATACTTACCTTGTTCTGTGTTCTCTTGTATCTTGCACAGACGGTTTTCATGAAAACTGGTTTTCATGAAAACCAGTTTATTTATGAGAAAGTGATGAACTTCATATTTCTTTTACTATTAGTTGATATTAATTATTTTTGTTTGCTCAATAACTACACAGATGTAATGCTGCCTTTCATTAGTTTAACAGAGGTTTTTATTTAAAAGATTAGTTTTAAATTAGGTTAAAAATTATATATTGTGACAGATGAATCAACAGTGTTTAAGGTTAAAAGTCTTTGTTCAAATTAAGGTTCACTGGTGTTTCCCTATTTTGTTAATCATGTATCTAACCTGATTAAAGTTTTCCTTCTTACTTAAAAGATTAAAAGTTAGGGTAAGTAAAAGCCCTAAAAAGGTGAACCTGATTATTATGCACGGTAAATTAGTAAGAAAAAGTATGTTATATCCTTGCAGATAGAAAAATTGGAAAGCTGAGTGAATAGGTGGCTCAAGGACAAAGCAGGTATGGTTTCTGTCAAGGCTCATTAAATCAAGCAAAACAATAATCACTGATTTCTATCAGCTAGACTGAGACGCTTCAATTGTCTCCAGAGAGCAACAATTACTGGTGACTATCGTCCTCTAAAAATCATAGCTCTAGAGATAAAAAAGACCAGCAGTGGGATCTGAGTCACACATTCACTAGAATGCAAATGTTGTCAGATAACTCAGAACAACCTTTTAAAATAATTTTATTCCTTTTTAATCAGTCCTGTCCAGAAGCAGTTTTACATCCTGTCTTTAATGCACCTTGGCTGTTTTCATAAGATGCAATTTAAAAGGGTAGTTACCTATCAAGAAATGGGTGAGTCATACCTTCTCCCTGTGGAATTTTAAATTCATTTCCATTCCTTCTTCTCTCCCCAGACCCCAA